AAATACAGCTGTAATAGAGGATCAATCTGAGAACAGCCCTCAAACCATGTCTTATTGACTTTGTCCAGGGTAGTTGATGATGGAGATGACCACAACCATTATGATGACAAAGCAATTGGATTAAAATTTTGAATCTTAAAGAAAAAAGGAACTTCTTCAAAAGTTGTGATGTACCTTAAACAACAAGTTATTGATGTCCAATCAAAAGAGTGTTAAGTCTTAAAAAAGGTTAATACTAGGCTATTGTTGCATACAAATTATGATGATAGTAAAAACAATTAAAGTAAACATACACCCATTGCAAGGATTCAGTTGATCTCTGGAATACTTTCTTTCTTAGTTGCATTGGAAATTCACGGACAAACATGTGTCTACTGATTTTTGGTTACTTCTTTGAATAATCCTTTAACAAGTAACATTACACAAGTTACCCTGACATAAGATAACTTTGAATTTTGCAGCAAGTATCTGACTGTGTTCATCATTCATCCTCATTTTTCGTTTCATTCTATCAGTCTGCTTTCTGTATCTTTTCCTACACCTTGAATTTCTCTCAGTGAAATAATTATTCAGTGTTATGTAGCGGTTAGCGGTGAGTAAAGCCTCGTTTTTTAACTAGTGAAAGGCCACTACAATGGAACCCTGCAAATTCAAACTCCCAAGGGGGAAAAATGTTTAAGCCAGTGGGGTTAGAGTTGGCCAATAGTGAATTTCTTAAAAAGTGGGGTCAAGGGAAATCGGATCTTGATCAAGTTACTGGGGGGCTTGAGTTAACTAAGTTAGAGTTGGCGGCGTTGTACTGTTTGTAAAAAGAAAAAAATCTATAGACTTGGAGAAATTGCATTGTCCTTGAAATATGCAATGATAGTCGTTGTGCTAATTAAATGTTACATTGCTTTAATTGTTTATTATTTCTCATGAATACCAGAAAGCAGGAAAGCATATACGAGGCAATACTAACAATTATGGTAGAGAGGTCACCTCAAAATACTATGGTAAAGAAAGTACCATTACTTGATTCTATGAAGTGCAATTTTCACACAAATTTATTGCTAGAGTTGATTAGAATTTGAGCCTTAAAGGGGGTCTTAGCTTCTTGTTCTTCTTCTTCGCTATAAAAGGCCTAAAAAACACGGGCCTCATGTGTAGATCTGCCACTGACTAGTTTTCTTAAAGGTCATGACATTAGGCAATAAATGCCTTGAATAGGATGCCAAGACAAGTTGCATTAACAATTTCCTGTTTGCCAAATGGAGAATTTTTGTAAAAAATCTTTTTCCCATTGAGGCAAACTTTTTTTCCTGAGACTTGTTGCTCGAATATGACTGTTTTGAGTTCATGTATACAAGAACTGCAAGGAAAAGGGTTAGCCTGCAAATGTATGGAGTGGTCAGTGGCATAGAAATGCTGCAGCAACTTGATGCAAAGTGTATTTTGATCTCAGTAATGAGCAGCAGGACACACAAGAACCAGGCTCGCCCTATTGTCACGCCTTTCGAACTGAAACCACCCAGGAATAATTAGCGAATTGCTTTTTTTCATACTGGAGAATTGGTTGGCAAGATTCAAAGTAGGAAATGGCAATGATCACTTTTGCATTTGTTGCGTCTCTGCAGAATAGTTCACATCCACAACTAACACATTTAATACTTTGTGCATTATTTGATAACCTTTTGTTGTGTGCATTCCTTATTGACTAGACAGATTAAATTTCCATTTTTCTAAAGCAGAATGGATAATTCAGCTTTTCTGGATTCAGCTACCCATATGGAAACTCTGGAACTACTTATCATATCAAGGAATATTTTGTTTTACGCTAAAACTTCCTATGCTTGCAATAAGGCTGTAATTCATTTTCGATGAATGCAATTAATTTTCATTGCATGAATGGGATAACATTACCCTTTTTCTGCCTGCAGCATATTTTTAAGACTTTGTATGCTCTTGTTAATCTCTTTTCAAAGTTATATGATTTAAAGCTTTAATAGTAATAATTTCATGAAATCTACTGCATAACTTATTAGTTGTAACTTCACTGCCTTTCCTCTTGTTATGAGGGTAAAGGATCCGATTACGGTTAAGCCAGGAAGGAAATAAGTATTAATTTTGAAGTGTGGCCCAAAACGTCTCGTTCGGTTACATAAACTGGTCTTTCTTTTTCTTCTGCAACTGTTAAATCTGCTACATTCTTTAAAGTTCATGGATACTTATTCTTGACACTTATAAAATATCCATGACATGTTCAGCTCTCAGTCCTCTACACAAATGTTTTTGAAATACATTATCCGAATATTTCCAAAATATCAAGAATTTAATACTGATTAAATGCTCGACACAGGTATGCATACATACAAAGTAATCTAATGTTTCTTCTACAAAGGTTTGAAGTAAGCTTACTTCTACTCAATCCACGAATTTCGACTTTTTTCCATTTTCCTAAAGAACCAAGTAAAATTTCTGCACAATTCCTGAGCGTGATGAAAGGTTTTTACGCAGTCCCTTTTTAACTAAAAGTGCGGTCTTATTTCAAAAATGTTGAGAATAAGGAATTTTTGTTCGCGAGCCGGGCGATGGATGCGCATGCAACACCAACTATTTTATCACTTTTCAAACTAAAGCAACCTGCTATTTTGCTAGAATGAAAAAATGAAACATTCGAATATAAAAGCTGTGTGTGTAAAATAAACAAAATGACTCTCACCAAAGCGCTCCCTTGATGAACGTGGAATGACCTCCTTGTGGAGAGACCTGTTGAAATAACCTCAGGTGTAGGCTCTGTAGTCGATTCCTACCAATGTGAACCATAATCTCCCCTTTTTATGACGGCACTTTCGAACTTCCAGTCGAATAAAGTTTATCTTGTTCCTCTCAACACTGTTTCCTTGCCCCTTTGGAAGAAAATCAAAATGTTACCCAACTGTCTTCAAGACTATGGCCATCTGCCAAGTAAGGAAACATTATTAGCAACGGCAAAAAGAGTCCTTGCGGGGGTAGACATAGATCTTCCCTTTTTTTTTCTCTTTATACCCAATATATAAATTGCCAATTTCAAGGGAGGAAAATCTTACACGACTAGAACACCCGAAAAACTGTTCCAATCTGGGGACTTAAGCGATAGGACGCAGTGTCCGTGAAATTTGGGAAACGATAAAATGTATCATTTGGCCAAAAATTAACTCACCATGAGTGGGGAGGGAACATTCATGACAGTGTGTCTTGGAAGGCTTCCAAGAAAAATGCTGTGAATACATTTCGGTATGGTTCTTTCTCATATAAGCGCGACATCTCCAAGCTTGAAAATTTAGCAGAGTACATTTAATATTGTAGTGAATCACATCGATTTTTGCTGTCAAAGCTGCTGTACACCTTTTTTATGTTTTTCGTTTTCAATGAATTTATGATTTCTGTGTGTCAAGTACTGTGAATGACACAATTTTTTGGAACACAGAAAGTGTTCGGATATCTGAAATATTAACAGGAAATGTCGACGTTAATGTTGTGAGATACATCAATAGAAATTAGTTATTTTAAAATACTTTCTTAGGGCGCCGTGCCGTTTGTGCGATGAAGAACCTACCCCTCCCCTGTGGGATCAGCCGTTCATGACGTGAAAGAGAGACCAAAGTTTGAAGGCTGTCGGCTACACCAAGCGTTCTTGGTTTCATCCATAACCATCTTGAAGAAGTCATTTCTTTCAAAACGATTTTCTCTATTGGGAACCATTTTTTGCCTTACCTTTGGGCTAACAAAGGCGTCGTAGTGATCTTGGAAAGAGGAGTCATGAATGTTGCAAATCCTGTAAATCGTAATTAGCAATTTTCGGCATTCTTCAATTGAGCGGAAAACAAGATTCCTCCATCCATAATATAATGATTGATTGTAATGGCGAGAAATCGAACATCGGTGAGTTAAGAGTTAACAAGAAACCGACATGAGTGCGAAGAAGGCGAAGCGTAATAAAGAGGAGTCGTTGTTGATTTCATACAATTCCGCAGAAGATCGCGGTGGTGTTGGGCGAAGCAGTGAATCTGATGACAATGTTCAACCGTTGGATTTACCACCGACTCGACTTCGACGTCCAAGATCCAGGTATTACAGCATATATCATTTAAGTTTGTGTATTAAATATCATATTTAGAAATACAGTGCACAGCTGACCGGACTTCAACGAAGATCGACGGAACTCTTGACAGTTTTTGCAACCTATCGACGCTTACGAATTCAACTTGCCAGATTTTTTTTTAAGAGTTATCAGATTTTATCACATGTATATTCTAGTTTAGTTCATGTAAGTAACCCATCATTCAAGGGATTCTTCTCCAATAAAGTATTACGGTAGGTATTGTGTCTGCTACAATTACATGTCGATGGCACATTAATGTAATATTTACAAACGATCGATTGATTTTAAGGCTGACATAAATTTTATTCGTGCGGTAGGTTTTTTTTCTTTACAAACTTATCTTTGGTTCGTTTTCTTTGTTTTTTTTTTTCAGTTTAATTTTTACCTTTAAGTTTTGTTTATTTCCTTTGCCTTGCACTTGTTATTATAATCTGAAACAAAAGGAAAAGAAAAAGAATTGGACCACAACAGATTCACCACAAATACATAGAGTTGTTTCTTTTACTTGATTTACTTCTTTTACTTGAGTGTAGTTTGAGATATCCTTGAAATGTTTTGATGTTGGAAAAGTACATTTGTCACATACAATTTAGTTCTACCTAAATGATTTCTCTGCATCGGATAGGTTTATTTCATACACACAATACATCCAAAAATGATTGTTTACATTGGCTTATAACGTTCATTTTATATTCATGTAGCATTTAAACATCAGCCACCTATACAGGCTATGTGTTATGCTTGTGAAGAGGTTAACACCCAGCTTTAAGTTAGCAGTATGATGCAAATATTGTCAGACTTTCCTTCTTTTGAATGTGATAAACACTGATGTAATAAATCACCTTCTCAGAGAGAACTTTTAGTTTCTAATAAGACCCCTTTCCTCTTACCTGAAACTGAAAGTTGTATTATCTTCTATTTGGGTTCGGTAGAGTTTATAGTACAAATTTTACATGTATTCTGAAGGTTGTAGTGGTGGAGATGAAACACTGCATCTTACTAGCCACCAAAATTTTTCATGAGTATTTGATAATTTTTTATTGTATATGTGGCAATTTCTTTTTTGTATATGTCTTAATTAGATTTCCACCAAAAAAATGCACACTGTTTAATTTGTATATTTATCTGGGCATTCAGGTGGGAGAAAAGCAATAATAAATAGTAAGCATGAGAGTGTACTTCCTATCTATAAACCCTTTAACCTCTGTGACTAGCATCTAATTTCTCCTTACAATATCACCCCTGAATCATGCAGTAAGGTCTTGAGAATAAAGAAAATTATCAGCAGCAAAAGAAGCTGTTGATTGTTGCAGAATTCTCCATGTCAGCACCTTTGGGAATCTATAAGGAACAGTATGAAGAATACCTTTACTGATGTTAGGGTGTGAAGGTTTGATTTATCTTGAACTCCCCGAGTCAGTGGTATATTCTATTCCAAATCATTGTTACAGTGGTATATTACGCATCTGTAAATGGCAGAGACAGTCCTAAGAGTGATCATGGGTAGTATAAGGAATTTATTTCCCCCATGGAAGTGTTAAGAACAGTGCACTCTGAAAATTTATTGTTTTAATGTTTTTTGTCTAACTCTTGACAGTCACTACTAACAGTAACTATTTGAACCAGAATCATTGAGGCATTATATTTGATTATCAAGCTGCCACTGTAGCCCTTTCTCAGTTTACAGTTAATTTAAGATGAATTATTCTGGATGTTAAATTGCTCTTTCTATTATTATGTTCTAGGAAAATTCATGTTCCTTCACAATCAAAAACTTGCTATTCACCATGGAATGCTCTGCAGGTGATCTTTGTTCTGTTCACTGTTGGAACAATGATCTCCATGATGTGGTTCACAATAATACTGAAGACATCACTTGAGTCAATGAGAAAAAGGATCACTTCATGTAAGTTAGCACCCTTGCCTTGTAGTTTACCAGTCATAATAATATTTGCTATAAACTCTGAA